AAAAGCACTGGATTTAATTCTTATTCTTATTGTTTCAACTCCGTGCTTTGCTTTTATTTCTTTTTTTATCCACCGTGACAATATTTTCAAATAGTGGAGGGTGCAGAAATTTTAAAAATGAAATGCAATGAACAAAGCATTTGTGAGAGAGAAACCTAACTGTGCTACTGAATCGCCGCTCTGCCAGATCTGTCTTTGCCCATCCAATTCACCAAAAGAATCAACGCACATTTCGATAGTACCTTGGCTAAAGGCCCAAAGCAATAACATGAAGTGAGATAAAAACACACTAGCTGTCCTGAACGGAACCATTTGATTTATTAGAAACTCACCCAGAATGTAGAAATGCACTCAATTCAACAAAGAAACAAAAATGATGGATCTAGCACATGATGTTATCCTAACTGGTAAAATATGAAAGTGGTCATATCTTACATGTCACAGAATGAAAGGCAATAGTTGAGGCAGGAATCAAAGATCTTCCTCTTAGCTCGTTTCTCCCTTTCGTCCTGAGTTTGAGCATTTTCAAAGTCCATGACACCTTCGGTAAAGGCTGTTCTCCAATTGCAGCTCTCGCAGGCCAGTGTTTCCCAGCTGTCGGTGTTTATGCTACATTTTTTAAGATTTGCCTTGAGAGTCTTTAAACCTCTTTTGTTGACCACCAGCATTATGCTTTCCATTTTTAGTTTGGGAATAGAGTAGTCGCTTTGGAAGACGATAATCAGGCATCCACACAACATGACCAGTCCAACAAAGTTGATGTTGAAGAATCATTTCTTCGACTCTGGTGATCTTTGCTTCTAACATTAGTTCACCCGTCTTCCCAAGTGATATGTAAAAATTTTCGGAGACATCGTTGATGGAATCTTTCGAGGACTTGGAGATGGCATTTATAAGTGATCCATGTTTCACAAACATACAGTAAGGTTGGTAGTACAATAGCACTGTAAACTAGCATTTTGGTTTCCCTGCAAATGTCCTCAAACACTCTACACTTCCATCAGGAGAAAGCTGTGCTTGCAGAGCTCAGGAGATGCTGGATTTTGGCATCAATTTCAGCCCTTGTGGAAAGATAACTGCCCACATAGGAAAAGTGATCAACACTTTCCAACATTACACCATTGAGTTGGATTTGTGGTGCTGCAGAGGGGTTGTTTTGTGCTTATTGGTGCAGCACTTTGGTTTTTTGAATGTTGAGTGATAGGCCAAACTTTTTGTAAGCTTCTGCAAAGATATTTAAGATGGTTTGGAGGTCATCCTCTGAGTGTGCACACACAACAACTTTTGAAACACTTTTACAACACTTTTACAACACCTTTACAACTTTTACAAGGAATCTTTGGGAGAGAAAAATGTGCTTTAAATGTGCTCTAAATGTATGATGTGTAGATAGCTCAAGTTACATCAGAAGGGGAACGTCCCCATTGTCCCTTGTGGGTGTTGACATGTAAGGAGCCTGAATGTCTGAATGGGCTTCATTTGTGTTTTTAAAGGACTCTGCCAATGAAATAGAGTGGTATCTCGGTTTAAGAACAGTCCTGTTTAAGAATGATTCAGTTTACGAACTCCGCGAAACCGGAAATAGTGTCCCAGTTTGCGAACTTTACCTTGGTCTAAGAATGGAATCCGAGTGGTGGAAAGGCACCAGCAGCAGGAGGCCTCATTAGGGAAAGCATGCCTCGGTTTAAGAATGGTTTCGGTTTAAGAACAAACTTCTGGAACGGATTAAGTTCGTAAACCAAGGTAGATGCAATGGCACGAGCTGCTTCAGGATATTGGGGAAGGGTGAAAGAAAGTTCAGCCAACATTTACATTGAAAGGAAGGGAGGTAGGAGGTTGCTGTGCCAGGGTAAATAAAGGTCAAATTTCAGCCTTACAGAATATCTAACATTTTTACAGTTTGCCTCCCATTTCTCCAGGACATTTCCCTTTCCTCTCATTCATTGAGCCTCTTGTAGGCAGTAGAGCTCCTTTGTAGCGTAAGTACCTTATAACAGAGTGGATCTGAAATCTAGGACTCTAAGATTAAAGTTGGATATTAATAGAGCCAATAATAAATTAATAAACCCAAACCCATTTCTTTTGGGGGGTTCAACATATGATGGAACAGTAAACATGATCTGTATGTCAATTATAAAGCAGATAATTCAAAATCAAGACTCTAGAAAGATGTTCATTATCCCATGAAGATCGTTTCTATTCTAATTATCTGGGACTCAGAGTATATATGTCCTGCCTTGCAACACAGTATGGAGCACAGGCGTTAGATTGGTAAGTCAATAAACGAAATATTTCACAATGAATATGGTGCAATTACATTGTAAATGTCTATTTACTCTCTTTTATTCCAACACATACCTAGTGGGAATAGTGTTTATAGTCCTTTTATAAAACAAAAGCAGATGCAACTGAGATCACTTAAAATTATCCTTGAAAAGAACAGATGGTGTCAAAGCAAATGTGAAGTATCTTGCAATTTGTGTACTATAAATTGAAAATTGATTTTAGGACTTCCCTGCACAGACAGACTTGCAATTTAAAACTAAGCAAATAAAGAAGCACTTCTCCTTATTGTCGCAACAGGACGTCAAATTATGACGTTTCTCGTGAAAGTCATTTGAACCCTTTTGACCAAATATCATGAGTCCCAGGTTCCTGTACAATGCAGTTCTCAGTAGCTTAATAGATAGCTTCCCACTTTATAAATTGTTTTAGTCCAAGAATGAAGTTTTTTTCCAAGGCCCTTTCCTGTTTCTATGCAGTGAGAACATCAAGGGCTACAGATGTGCTAATCTTTGTTAATGCTGTAATCCATTTAAATACTTTAGGCCCAATTCCATATTGATCTAAATGGTACCTTGTTTTGGGGGGGGGGGAGTAGAGCTGTGCTAATATGCTCCTGTAGCATGAAACAATGACCTTCTGCTTTCAGAAATGCCCTGCCAAATACTCATTATATTTTTCACTTGCTTGTAGTCCAATTAATCTTCTGAATGTAATTTCTTCTTGTCACACTGGGACTTCAACAATAAAGTGTTACTTGAATGTTTCCAAAATATGGTTTTCAGCAGTCCTGCTCAGCCAGGACTTACCTGTCTACAGGACAATATTCTTGCCAAAGCAAACTTGTATTTTTATACAGCTAAGGCAAAACCTGAGATTTAATTGTCTCATTCTTGCAGAGTGGTGAGCTGAAAATTCCAAATCTTCAGGGCTAGAGCCTGACTGTGGAATGTGGATCCACGAGGCTGTGTCTTTTTTTGGGACCTCCTGTGGCTCTGGAGATCCATCTGCACTATGTATTTAAAACAGAATCATCCCACTTAACAAGTCATTATCAGGATTCCGGCACTGTTTCTTGGTCCTCATCTAGTCCACCACTGCATTCAGACACCGATCCAGAGTTTTTGCAGCCTCTCAATTTTTAGATGTTATGGAGAATTAGAGCTGTGTTCAAAATTCAGAATTCAGTTCAGAATTCAGCATACTGGTGACACCTAGTTCCAAAAACTCCTAATGACGGCTCCCTGCCAAAGCCTTCTCACCAGTCAGGTTTAATAAAAGGTCTTTTAAGCCAGTACTTCTGACGTGAAGGCCGGCCTCAGTGTTGGATCAAAGAGTAACTCAAAACTGCAGACCAGGATATCCATGACCCCACTGACAAAAGATGTCACCACGACTCCATCTTGGTCAGACAACCTGCCAAGCGTCAGTACCTCGTTCTTTTCTGAGATAAAATACCCAATCAGTCCCCACAAAAGACACACGCTGTCTAAATACAGAGGCAACAAGTGAAAGGTCAGATTAAAAAGAGAAGTAGATTAGAAAGCAGTAGTAGCACCCTGAGAACTCGCATTTAATCTCTGTACAAGCCATTCAGGAAGATTGAACAGGACTGAGCACAAAGGGAACCTTTAATGACCATCCATGCCTCTTCAATACATACAGCTCTTTCTCTTTCTCTTTCTCTTTCTCTACAAACACACATACACAGAATGAGAGAGAGAGAGAGAGAGAGAGAGAGAGGAATGACCTGTGACTTGAACCATTCTAAATGAACCATACAACTACTACAGTGGTACCTCAGGTTAAGTACTTAATTCGTTCCGGAGGTCCGTACTTAACCTGAAACTGTTCTTAACCTGAAGCACCACTTTAGCTAATGGGGCCTTCTGCTGCTGCCGCGCTGCCGGAGCCCGATTTCTGTTCTCAATCTGAAGCAAAGTTCTTAACCTGAAGCACTATTTCAGGGTTAGCGGAGTCTGTAACCTGAAGCGTATGTAACCTGAAGCGTCTGTAACCCGAGGTACCACTGTATTTTGATTCAACTACTGGGTTTCAAGCCTTTAAGTACAGTGGTGCCTCGCAAGACGAAATTAATCGTTCCGCGAGTCTCTTCGTCTTGCGGTTTTTTCATCTTGCGAAGCACGGCTATTAGGGGCTTAGCGGCTATTAGCGGCTTAGCGGCTTAGCGGCTTAGCGGCTATTAGCGGCTTAGCGGCTATTAACGGCTTAGTGGCTTAGCGGCTTTAAGAAAAAGGAAACAAACTTGCAAGAACTCGCAAGACGTTTCGTCTTGCGAAGCAAGCCCATAGGGAAATTCGTCTTGCGGAACGACTCAAAAAACGGAAAACTCTTTCGTCTAGCGAGTTTTTCGTCTTGTGAGGCATTCGTCTTGCGGGGCACCACTGTACACACATACACACAGATCCCAAATGAGAGAGAAGGAGAGATTGGTTAAATTGGCCATGACCTATTTAATAAGATCAATAGCATAACATTTCTCCTTTTGTACATTCCGTTCAATTTTGAATTTCAGTGCAAATGTGCATCAGCGCATGAGAAACAAGTCCTGACCTGAAAGTTGCCAGAAGTCCACACTTCTCTTTGAACTAAGCCCATTGGAGATAGAACATTAGCTAGGAAACAGCGTGCAAGCCTAATAACAGAAGTCACAGAAGGGACCACAGGAGTCATCTAGTCCAATGCAGGAATCTTTGCCCCCAAAGTGGGGCTTGAACTCACAATTCTAAGATTAAGAGTCTCATCCTCTACCAACTGAACTACTGGTATGTACTAATTTCACTCCAAGTTACTAATTCTTCCGCAACCCTTCATTTATTGTCAGTGCTTTGGGGGGTAACAAGGGATAATTGGGGGGGTACCTTGCCACTCTTTGGACTCTCTAGGGGACCCACTTGGTCCTCCTTTCCATTTTGTGACATTTTGTCCAGCTACATACACAGATAGAGGGGGAGAGAGAAGGTTCAAAACATTTGTGAGCACCAACTAATAGCTAAGCTGCTTCTGTTTTCTTTTTTTTAATTCGTCTTTATTGATTTAAAATATCATCATACATATATATTACAGATAGTTACATCAAAATTAAACACAAAAATATAATAGAAAAAAGATAAAGAAAATTAAAATAAAAAGCAAAAAAGAGTTAACAATAAGAAATAAGTATTGGTTGCAACATCCTGTCTTTTCTATTAAAGTCTTCTGAAAGAAACTTCCAATCGTTCTCGTTGTACTTTTTCTATTGTCTTAATTTTATCACACAGTTTGTTTTATAACTTTTCCTGTATATTCATCTAGTATATTTATTCCACTTGTCTATTATATACAAGTATCATTCAGTTCTGCTAGGATAACGTCATTATTACAATATAATCTAATACATTCTTTGAATAGTCTCCATTCTCTGCTTCTGTTTTCTATTAGGCAAATCGAGCCTAATTTTCTTGACTTAGGAAAGCTCACTTGTATACTGTTCACCCTTAAAAGGGAGGTTTCTAATCCTACAAGTCAGTGGGTCCCTATTCTTCCGATTCTTCCTAGAACAACTACCAGACTTTTAGAAGACATCTGAAGGCAGCCCTCTTTAGGGAAGCTTTTAATTTTTAACTGACTACTGTATTTTAAGACAGTGGTACCTCGGGTTACATACACTTCAGGTTACAGACGCTTCAGGTTACAGACTCCACTATCCCAGAAATAGTACCTCGGGTTAAGAACTTTGCTTCAGGATGAGAACAGAAATCGTGCTCCGGCGGAGCAGCAGCAGCAGGAGGCCCCATTAGCTAAAGTGGTGCTTCAGGTTAAGAACAGTTTCAGGTTAAGAACAGACCTCCGGAACGAATTAAGTACTTAACCCGAGGTACCACTGTACTTTGTTGGAAGCCACCCAGAGTGGCTGGGGAAACCCAGCCAGATGGGTGGGGTAATAATAATAATAATAATAATAATAATAATTCATAGCTATACCATGGGAATAGATGGTTGATGTCGACATGGGACACTAACCTTGCCCTTGTATCATTGCAGGGACATGGTAATCCCTCAGACACTTAAATCCCTCTTCAGCCATTTAGCCCGACGACATATGGGGTGGGAAATGTGTAGCAGACTGGGAGGTACAAACCTACCTCACCCCAATGCCCCCCAAGTGTACTGCCCTGATCCCTCCACTCCTGATCTTTGCCTAAAATTTGGGAGTGAAGGAGCTGGGACAGCACACATAATGGGGACAGTGTTGGCATTCTGGTCCCTGCCCCTCTACCCTTTTTGCCTTTGTGTGCTCAGGTTGAATGCTGGAAGAAGGCTCAAAGCACAAGTGTGTCAGCCATTCAAAGATAGAGAAACATAAGATCTTGGGATGCTTCCAGGTGTCCTGTTTACTGAGCATTCATCCTGATTTGTTTGTGAGGAGGTTGGATCTTTCGGGGGAGTGGGTTTGTTGAGCAAGACTCCTCAATCAACTCCAATTGCACAACCTGAATTTGGTGATATAGAATTAAATCCCATCTGAAAATAACAACAGTCCAGGAGCGTCAATGATACACTGCAACCTGCCTGAGACCTGCAGGTATAGGGTGGTATAGACGTACCTTGTGTCAGGAATGTGGCCCCCCAGAGTGCAGGAGAAGAGTTAGACTCAGAAATTGAACTAAGTGAACGAGGGACCAACTCTGCAGATGAGAGCTGGCTGACGAGTCGAGAAAGGGCAGTTTGACACACACACACCTTTCTGGGGAAGATTCTGTTAGCTCTCAAGAAGAGGAAGAGTTGGAAGGCAGCCAGAGTGTTGCTAGGCAATCAGCAGATAAGCAAAGCTCTGGGTCTGTGTCAAGTGGAAGTGGAGAGGGAGCAGGCCAGCCTCTCAGTCCCCATTCTAGGTGACTGCATAAGATCAGAGCACAACGGAGGGGCAAGAGGGGAAAGGCAGGAGTTTGGCATCCTTCCTGCTGTGGGAGGGGTGAAGATTCGGACTGACCAACTATCATAAATATGAGCAGGTGAGAAATAGTGCTCTGGGTGTGTCTTTTTGTAAATAAATGTACATAAAACTGCTGGAGAGTCATTACTTCTTATCAGGGCTTGCTTGCCTGCCAGAGATCATTACACCTCGGAAGTCGCATGGAATCCATCCCGGAAGTCCATTCAACTTCCAGAAAGTTCAGAAACCAAGGTGCGGCTTCCAATTGGTTCCAGATTGTGCAGGCATCCCGGAAACAGTAGTGGAAGCCGTGCCGGATGTTTGGCTTCCAAAAGAAGTTCAGAAACAGGAACACTCACTTCTGGTTTTTGATCGTTCGGGAGCTAGAACGTTCGACTCCCAAGGCGTTCAGGAGCCGAGGTGCGACTGTGTATAATTTAATAAATAATAATGAACAGAGCTTTGCTCCATCCCATGTCACTGCATTATTCACAATATTTGCAGTTATTGTTAAAAAAAAAAAGCCAGCAACAACAACCACTGCATAATGAAAACATGGCAAAGTATAATTGCCTTTTTCCATGGTCCCCAAGCAGGAAAAGAAATGGGATTGTAGTTTGTTGTTGATTGTTCATGGCACTTTACTATCCAAAAAACAAACGAACAGAAATTCAATCTGCCTTGATCCAGGATATTTGCATTGAGGGTTGGATATGTCTTCCTCCCTCAAAAGTTTCCAGATGATCTTCAACTTTAAACACAAAGCCTCAGATAAATGCAGGATTAGCTTCGGCTACATTCTCTTAAGTGTGCACGTTTTGCGGGTGTCTTTTTTGTCTAAATGTCAGCCTTGTAGACAATTACCAGAAAAGCTGTCAACAAAGAGGAGGGCTTGCTATGGTTGAATGTCATCTGCAACTTGTTAGGATTCTCATCTCACCATCTGACAGATTTTGATGCCTTATCAAAGCAGCAGGGCCCATTCAAGTAAGAAATCTTCCTTTTGAGCGGTGAAAAGAGAAATGAGACAACACAGTAATAACTGTTAATGTGGCTTCCTCTTGTGACAGCAATTTCAATCAGTCTTTATTAAGAAGTGACTGGTGTAGGCATGTACATTTCCCTTATTTTATTTTCAACAGCCACCTGGATGAACTCGGAAAAGAAGCCAGCACTTCATTCATATTCATGTTATGTGTGTAGCCTTAAAGCGTGTACACACACACACACACACACACACACACACAACCAAGACAGTTACTGGGCTACAGAATCTAATCAATTGTTTCACTTTCCATCTCCTGTCTTTTTCCAGCTTGCTGTGGATACAAAAGAGTGTCAAACAACCATCGTAGCCCCTGGAAGAATGAAGCAGCTGGAAACTTTGCTCTTTCAAAGTTTCCATTTAATTCTATGTAGAGTTCTTCAAAGGGCCACATTCACACGATACATTGAAAGCAGTATGATACCACTTTAAACAGTCATGCCTTCCCTCAAAGAATTCTGGGAGCTGAGAGTTGTCAGGACACCTCCTATTCCTGAGCTACAATTCCCAGAGTCCCCAGTGAAGAGGGGTTGGTTTTTAAACCACTCTAGGGACTGTGCCTCTCAGAAGGATATAGTTGTTTCTTAACCATTCTCAGCTCCCCTGACAAACTACAACTCCCAGAATTCTTTGGGGGAAGAAACCTTGACTGATCAAAGTGGTATCATGGTGCTTTAAATGTATAATGTGAATGTCGCCAAAACAGAGAGGTGGTGTATTTTTCTCTTTCTGACAAGGCTTTGTTTTAGTCACAGAGCCCTTACATGCAAACCACAATCACTTCAGTAAAGGTAAAGGGACCCCTGACCATTAGGTCCAGTCGTGACCGACTCTGGGGTTGTGGCGCTCATCTCGCTTTATTGGCTAAGGGAGCCAGCGTACAGCTTCCGGGTCATGTGGCCAGCATGACTAAGCCGCTTCTGGTGAACCAGAGCAGTGCACGGAAACACCGTTTACCTTCCCGCTGGAGTGGTACCTATTTATCTACTTGCACTTTGACATGCTTTCGAACTGCTAGGTTGGCAGGAGCAGGGACCGAGCAACGGGAGCTCACCCCGTCATGGGGATTCGAACCGCCGACCTTCTGATTGGCACGTCCTAGGCTCTGGTTTAACAGAGTGAAGGGTAAATATCGGGCCATGCTTGGGAGGTGTTCTGATATGAAAGGATCTGTCATTGGATGAAATACCGTATTTACTTGAATCTAATGCGCCATCGAATCTAACACACACCTTAGTTTTCAGAACCTTAAAACCAAGAAAAGTCTGGCAAATGTTAATGTGCCATCGAATCTAATGCGCACCTTAATTTTCACAACGTAATTTGGCCAAAAAAGGTAGGCATTAGATTTGAGTAAATACGGTAATCCTCCAGCGACTCACTGCCAAAAAACCTCCTAAAGATCAAACCTTCATGCTTTCCAGACTACTCTTGAGATCTTCTCCTTACCATTTTGTACACTGCAATTTTGTTTTTTGTTTTGTTTTTCAGTAGGAAGCCCCAACTCTCTCTCTCTCTATATATATATCTATATATACACACACACTTTTCAGATTTATATATTTATATATTTACTCTTATGAAACTGCAAGTTATTACAATAATCCTGCCAAGGTTTTTATCTGTTTACAATTTATCTGTAAATATTCAATAAACCATTTCCGTTCGTTTATAAAAAGGTTGTTATCATGATTTCTTACTCTCCAGTAAGTTTTACCATTTTTTACCATTTCTGTATATTCCATTAGTTTTTTTATTCATTCTTCCATTGCTGGGACTTCTGCTTCTTTCCATTTTTGGGCAAGT